CACAGTAGATTATCCACTGAATGATACTAATTCATGCATTTGAAATGCAGAAGATGTTTTTCTGTCTCAACTGCCTGTGCGCAGTTTTGAGACATGCCAGGCTGGGGGGCCTGGAATCTTTGATAAGGAACGCTTGCAGGTTATCTTCAATTTCTTTTCGCATCTGCACTTTGGAAATGAAGTAATGGCACAGCGGAAAGATGGCATATCTGGGTGCGTGGTGCTGACATTTCCTGCTGGAGGGAGTGTGAGTTCTTCCATTCTAAGCGTTTTCCCCATTTCTCTTTATGTCCCCATACAAGAATGGCAATTAGCCCTCTATGGGCTCCAACCATATTAGATCCGTCCTTTCGTACCGCTGGCTAGTACGTCCCTATTCAACATCCAAGAGAGGACGGCCAAGCCATAGTGTGCCCTCCTTTGTTATTGCGGCTGGTCCTGAACACTCAAGAGGACTGCTCTGATATCAATGTGAATGAATCCGAAGAATTGGCTCATATTTTCTCTGGGTCTGAAGAGGAAAATGTCCCTTTAGCACTGATGAATGAATCTCCCTCTTGAAATCTAAGGTGGGGAACTCTTAAATAACGGGTTTATAGCCTGAGCAGATATACTGCACGGGGAGATTATTCTTTAACTCTTTTGTTAAACTATTTCATTGTGCCAAGCCGCAGCGCAGTGTGCAATAACTCACAAAATAGGTGCCACTGTGAGCCCACAAATACTGGCAGCCGTTTGGGGAATAGCTTACTTCTTTTCTTTTCTTTTTAAAGCACCAAGGGGGTTTTCTTTTCTTTTTGGTTTTTCCTTTCCTTTTCTGCACATAGACAAGGCTTACGGATGGCTGTTGTCCCAGTAAACAGAATTGTTTTATGTCTGAGCATCGTACCTGTCGGGTGATGCTCAGTCCTTTTATCCAGCAGCAATCTGCACCGAGAAGCTGGCGCACCTTCGTTCGGGCCTGTGAAATATTTCCTAAGTGACAGCCGTCATCTGGCAGTGAATACATATAATAATAATTCTGCTCTAGTACGAGCACACTGTGCTGACGCTAATCTTTCCTGGTGTCATCTCCCTTTTTTATCAATGACTTGCGGTGGCATCTCTGCCGACGACAGAAACATGAATATGAAACTGCTAATTGAAAAATAAAAAGCCTAATGGAAAGAGCCAATTAATTACATGGAGGACATGGAATGAGACAATATACACAAAGGGCATCTAACAAGAATTGATTTAGGAATCACAACTCTCGCCAGAGTCCTTTGGAGTGGAGGCCGAGCTCAAGACTCCCTCATTGGGTCATTTCCTGCTTTGTGATATCTGGAATACCTTCTGAGTTATAGGCTAAAATGCTGGCAGGGCACACATACACACCCCGGGTGCCATGCTCCTCTGGCCTCCCTTTTTCTGGGGAGTCGGATTGGGATGGGCTTATGCCCTGGCCTGGATGGAGGGTCCCGGGGCCTCTATCTGCCTTGACGGCCATGGCCAGAAGCTCACGACAAGGAGAGCCGCAGAAGGCAGACACACCGAAGCAACCAACTTCGTTTTCTCTACCTCACATGCACACAGGAGGCTTAAAGGCTCCCACCTGGGGCCGGGCTCCACCCTACGAACAGGAAAGAAAGGAAAAAGAGCTTGCCCAAATCAGGTTTCAGAATGGTGTCAGGAGACAGCAAGCATGGGTCACTTTCCACTTCGGGTAAGAAGGTTCATACCCAGGCGTGCAGGACTGTCCCCTATTTGGGAATGGGCCTACGTAGGAGGGGATTCTTAGGAAGTTCTGCAAGGGCACAGGAGGAGAGCGAAGGATAAGAGTCTCACCCTCAACCCTGCTAAATGGGGTGGTGGGGGTGGTGGTGAAAATAGTTGTTTATATAAAGTATTTCAAGTGGAGGATGCAGGAATCGGCAATGTCCAAAAGCGGGAGGTGGTCTCCCTTCTTCCTCTCCCCAACCCAGAATATAATCTTTGAATCTACCCTCTGGATTTGGAGGGGCTGAAGATCAAGGTTCTAGTAGGTATTTGTGGCTGAGGATGCCAAAAAGAAGCAACTGGAGGGGGGGGACCCTTTCCATAATATTTTAATGAGTTGTTTTGTATTTCATTGTGTGCTTCTCTTTGTATGTGTTTCTCTCTCTCTCTCTCTCTCTCTCTCTCTCTCTCTCTCTCTCTCTGTGTGTGTGTGTGTGTGTGTGTGTGTGTGTGTGTGTGTGTGTGTGAGAGAGAGAGAGAGAGAGAGAGAGAGAGAGAGAGAGAAGGGGTACTAAAGGTTTTGCAGGGGTTCTGCTTTTGCAGAATTATTTGGATGGGTGGACATATTGGGAAGAAGGGCGCCTTTTCTCTATTCATTTGGTGCTTCTTCCTCCCAGAGAAGGGGAGATAAAAACCTCTTCGTTTAGGCGTGTGCGTCTTTACCCAGCTCTCTTCTCTCACCCCCCCCAACTGCACAACCCATGCGTCAAGTTTGTAGACTTTGTCAAGTCTAATTATAGGAGGAACCCTCTTGATGAATCCGTTGCTTGCCTGCATAGCTCTCAAAAGAACCAACTACAAGCCAGGTATTAAATACCTGTCATTACTGGTGTAGCAGCAAAGGTCTCACCGAGAGGGAATTTATTTAAAATATTTTTATCCCACCTTTCTCCTTAAGAAGGACCCGAGGTGGCTCACTTCATTAAAAGACAATATTTAAAGTTAACAACAGTAAGTATACAAATACTTTAAAAAGACTAAATGACTAAGAAACACCAGCAACACCAAAACACATTTTAAAAAGTAAGGTACAATCATCCTTTTAAAAGGCCCCACTCAGACAGCCAACCACGGAGGGAAAGCCTGCCTGAAGAGAAAGGTCTTTAACTGCTTGCGGAAAGAGAACAAAGACGGGGCCAACCTGGCCTCCAGTGGGAGGGAGTTCCACAGTCTGGGAGTCACCACGGAAAAGCCCTCTTCCGTGTCCCCAGCAAACTCCAAGGTGGATTATTTTCCTTTCCTTGTTTTTTTTTCTGTTTTAAAATATGAACCAAAGCTTATCATTTCATATTCACCGTTCGTTGTCTAAAAGGTACAAAAACAATACTGTTTATAAATGATGTTATTTTCAATTGTCTTTTTTAAAAACATTAATATTAATAATTTTTGAACAGGCTTTTAAAAATTCTTTCATTTATTCCAGTCTCCCTGTGTTCTACTTTTGTTAATAAAGAAAACAAAGAATGCATATTAAGAAGCAGCAGGAGTCCTCCTTTTTTTCTTAAAAAAGGTTAATTCATTGTTAATGATCTGGTTAATTATTATTTATTATTAACATATAATTCATAAAACTGTCCCATTTAAAACAATGCAGAAGTTATAGGTTGCCTAAACAGACTTCTTCAAGAATGCATGCAAGCATTTTGTTTTCTTTCTCCATGAATTAAAAAAAATGTAAAATGGAACTATAATAAATAACAAATTACAATCTGCTGCTCAAAATTACCATGGGCATGCAATATAACTAAACAACAACTAAACGAAGGCGGTTTGGAACTGATCCCCCCCCCCGCCAGATACGGGGTTCCTTACTGTATATGTGCTTGCAAATGAACACCTTAAAAGCAGTTTAGAATAGATTGTTATACCCACAGAGAGAGCTGGGCCCATACAATGTTGTTGTTGTTGTTGTTGTTGTTGTTGTTGTTGTTGTTGTTGTTGTTGTTGTTGTTGAAAAGCAGAGATATCACCTTGCTGACGAAGGTCCACATAATCAAAGCTATGGTTTTTCCAGTAGTGATGTATAGAAATGTGAGCTGGACCATAAAGAAGTCTGACCGCAGAGGAATTGATGCTTTCAAATTGTGGTGCTGAAGGAGGCTCTTGAGAGTCCCTTGGACTGCAAAGAGAACAAACCTATCCATTTTGAAAGAAATCAACCCTGAGTGCTCACTGGAAGGACAGATCCTGAAGCTGAGGCTCCAATACTTTGGCCATCTCATGAGAAGAGAAGACTCCCTGGAAAAGATGCTGGGAAAGTGTGAAGGCAAGAGGAGAAGGGGACGACAGAGGACAAGATGGTTGGACAGTGTCATCGAAGCTACCAATACAATGTAGCAGCCCTTAAACCCCTGATTCATGGATGAGACCACAAAATACTGTATTTTCCACCAGCTACACAATCACAAGGCAATTGACTTCTGCGACAGATTTCTCTCTGACAACTCTAGGGGTCAAGGAAACTGCAAACCGCCTTGGGTCCTTTTCAGGAAAAAGGTGGGTTAAATATATTTTAAATAGACAATAAATAAATAAACTAGAACCATTGGAGAGCGCAGGGGTTTAGGCTTCTGGCCGCAGAGCCTTTCCACCAGCTACACAATCACAAGGCAATTGACTTCTGCGACAGATTTCTCTCTGACAACTCTAGGGGTCAAGGAAACTGCAAACCGCCTTGGGTCCTTTTCAGGAAAAAGGTGGGTTAAATATATTTTAAATAGACAATAAATAAATAAACTAGAACCATTGGAGAGCGCAGGGGTTTAGGCTTCTGGCCGCAGAGCCAGAGGTTGGGTACATATATTTTAAATAAATAAATAAACTAGAACCACTGGAGAGCTCAGGGGTTTAGGCTTCTGGCCGCAGAGCCAGAAGTTGGGAGTTCGATTCCCCACTGGACCTCCTTGACAGGGGTGGACTTGATGACTCATAGGGTCCCTTCCAGCACTGCGGTTATAAGATTATTAGTATTATTATAAACAGTATTATCGGTAAGGTGTTTGTAACGCTCGGGGAAACTGAGTGCAGAGGGCAGGATGTTGGTGATAGCTCATAAGGAGGTTTTCTGGTGGTTTTGAGGGTTGTTGTTGTTGTTAATGAATAATGAAAGTAACAGATTCATCCGTCCAGACCAGGCATTGGCCACTCTCTATGGAGTAATATGAAGCCAAGAACCTTAGGAATTAGCAGTGTAATGGGAATTAGCAGCAAGCCCTTCATTAAAAGAGAATAAACTCTCTCACCCTCTCTTCCAGTCGAGCCAGCTGCTCTTTGTAGTACGCATCATGCTTCTTCAGCTCCCTCTCTTTCTCTTCCAGCTGCTTGGCCTAAAAAAGCAACACATACAGACACACACACACAGACAAAGAGAGAAAAAACGGATCAAGAAAAAGCAAAATCCAGCAAATAAGACGTCTGACATAAATTGTGCCCATTAACTCTTCCATGGTGCCCAGAGCCAGCCGCCTGTACCGGTTTTTGCCAAGATACGATATTAATAGGAGCATGATTAGAGCATTGAAAAAGTTAAGTGCTCGCCCATTGTATTTCCATGTTTGCTCAACAGCTGTGCCATAGTTCATCCAAATGGATTTGGGAGGAATCACAAGACAGTGCCAAGCAAGCAGGATTGGAATGAATTCCCTAGTGACAGATTGGCGCGAGGGGCCCTGAAAGAAAAGGACAGTATTCAGACCACCAATGCGATGGTGAACTATCTGGAATGAGGTGGTGTTGTTGTTTTTTAATGTATCGTATTTTTCGTGTATAAGACTATACGTTTGTCTAAAATTTTTAGACTTAAAATTGAGGGTCGTCTTATACACAGAAGTAAGCTGATGAGAGAACAAAAACAAGTGGAGGGGAAAGCAGGGATCAAATTGTTCCAGCAGGGCTTTGATCCCTGCTTTCCCCTCTGCCTGCTAAATCCCATGGGGCTTAGCACAATGAGGGAGAAAAAGATCAAAGCAATCCCTCGGATGTATAAGGGGGAAAGGGATCAAAACGATCGTGCAGTCGCGGGATTGCTTTGATCGCTTTCCCCCTCCTTTTGCTAAGCCCCGCAGGGCTTAGCATGAAGGGAGAAAGCGGGGATCAAAGCAATCCTGCAGCGCTTTGATCCCTTTCCCCCTACACTTGCTAAGCTCCACTTAGATTTCTTAATTTGGGGTTACAAAAGTGGGGGGTGTTTTATACATGGAAAAATACGGTAGTCAGATTCACACCTCACGTAACATATATGAAATGCTGGTGTCTCCCGCGGGGCTTAAATCCAAAACAAACCCAAGCAAAACACATACAATACCCATGGCACACGTTGCATGTCCTGCATGTGAATGAACTCTCAAGTGTTTTAAGTGTCATGGCTGCTGTCATGCAACTGTTTGCAAAAGGCTGTTAATGCAGAAGGCAGGGAAACTGTTCAATTGGGGCCTGCACTGCAGCAAGTCCTGGCTCCAAACCACAGCAAGAGAGTTCTCAGATAAAGAGAGCCTGCAGTTTATTGGGGATAATGGGAACCCAAGCAGAGAGTGGCTGTCTTCGCACTATCGAGGCAGCTGATGTTGCTTTGCAGTGGGGATCAAGCCAGAACCTCTTTTCCATGGCAAGCTCCCGAGGTACAATCCTACACTTACTATGCACCGCCACACTTCCTGGCTTGAACCCTCTTGGAGCACCTTAGAAATATGCTAACAATGCCTAATTGCAGGTTCTTACATCCTTTGCAAAAGTCTAATTAATTTTCCATGGTCACCAAGGAAACCACAAAGTTCGGCTTACTAACATTATCCAAAAGTGTTTAAGATTGTAGTGAACAAACTCCAGCAAAGGTAGTAAATTACTCCAATAATTCCAAGTACACAACAGGCTACGTGTTCGAAGAGAACACAGCCCATTTTATGCTGGCTGTGAGAGCACCACCTCTAGTCACCAAGAAATTCAGTAAGTTTTAATGTTTGTGATGTTCAGCTCAAGCAAAAGTCTTTCATCTTTTTTTATAACATTTCTCCTTGCAAAGAATGCCCCCTCCCACCTCCACGACTGATCAAAGAGATAATTTTACTCCCTCATTGCCCAGAATAGGCTGCTTAAGCAAAATTAAACTTGCACAGAATAGTTCTTGAGAGCCCAGTGGTTATCCGGAGAGAACATGAAACATTTCACCTCTAGGATACCGATAAGGTTTTACTGTAAACCATGGTGTTTGTTTGTTTTTTAAATATTCTTTTAAAAAACATGAGCTGGGTATTTAAAAACTTTTCTGCTAGAACTATTTCGTATATTTTGCAAACAATGGTTGAAAGCTGACTAAACACTATTAATTTACAATCAAACAGAAGATTATTCACTATGGTAATCATGCACTGCATCTGTTGGTTCTGAGGAGTTCCTCTTCATTTAACTTCATTAAAATACTATTAAACCAAGGAATGAATGAATGAATGAATGAATGAATGAATGAATGAATGAATGAATGAAT